ATTCGAATAAGCAAACGTATCAGGTAGGCTTTTATTATATCTGTATTTCGTTTATAGTTTTATTAGTATAAATTACCCAGCCGCCTAACACAATTTAAATTAAGAATCATACTTTACACAAAATCAAGTCAGCTATAACATAGAACTGAGTAAAAGGACAAAAATCGACTAGCCTTGATTAAGAAACTATGAAATCTATTATAATAGTTAATAGATACAATGGAAGTTCGTAATACAAAGAATTTGATAATAATTATACAATCAAAATATAAACAGTAATTTTGATGAAGTTTTGTTCTCTGAGCTGGATGGTTTGATTGTGGAGATTTCATCGTTCTCCTGAAGAACGATGAAGATAATGATAAGGATATTTACCTAATTATATAACAGTTAAATAGGATACGATTTATCATAGACAGATAGAAATGATCAATGATAAACCTTAGAGCAATTTTGTTAATAATAAATATTTTAATAGTTGAATTCATGAGTCAATCTAATCTACACCATCATTGAAAAGTTAGAAGCATTGGACGGCTGTTTCGTCCTTGTGTGGGACTCCTCAGAGATTTGATTAAACATTATACAGTCATAGATCTATTCAATAATATTCTAAAAATAATTAATTCTGATGACAATAATTTGTTGAATGTAATTACAAAGAGACGAAATTGAACAAAATGTACACAGTATGTGTTATTACTAAATTTGAATAAATAAACGACTGTAGAACTTCAAGAATGAGAAAGAATAATTCATTGAACCACCTTACTTTGTTTCAAAGATTGTTTTGCTCTTAATAATACCTTATATCAGTGTGAGGATAAATGGAGATTATTGAATGTTATTGAGATAACGAATTGGTTTAAACTAGATAATTATTGAAAACTTGTAAGTACTTGATATCTATTCCATTCTTGTGTGGGACTCCTCTGCAGTGTTCATGTCTGATCATGCAGTGGACAGAATACTGGAACTTCAGATCTCATAGTGAAAGCCATCACCCTCTTCTTCTCTACTACTTCACCAACTTTTACTTCTAACCAACTTACCTTTGGTTCCACGTCTCTCTAGATTAAATATTCTTTCAATTTCAATAATTTTATTTATTATATTATGCAAGCAACTTTCACAATTATTAATCCTTATCTAATTTCTAAGATAATCTTGATGAATATTCAGGATCTCCTAACCTACATTTTCAGTAATATAACAAATGAATAACTAGAGAAGGGTTTGTGTGGATGTTTTAATAATTTAATGGTTGAATCCATGAGTCAATTGAAGCTAAACCACCACTACTGACGGTCTTCAAGAAGTATTTCCTGGAGTTCTAGTGAGAATCCGTGATCAGTGGTTTTCAGCCGGGTCTGTTGTGAGATAGTAACTCACTGATGACAATAGTGGATGGTGGCGCAATTTCGTGAATGTTTGAAGTTACACAATAACACCATTGGATGCCGACTCAGTGGTCTGGAAGGTAAGCACTGTCTCACGAGCCTGATCTGTCCTAGGTTCGAATCTCGTGGGGGAGAGGAGGGATCATTGATGCTCACTGATGAGGAGTCCCACACTGGAACGAAACGACCATCGAGTGCTTCCAACTTTTCCATGGTGGTTTAACTTCAACTGACTCATGATCTCAGCTATTAAATAAATAACTATTTGTTTCTATCATTGTTACTAAATTCAGTAAATAATTGCTATCAACAAACACACATAATTGATTGTCATTATGAAAAGTATTGTCTTGTTGTCATTATAAGACTTTGCCAATGAATTCACTGGGAAAAAATTAATAATTCCTCACTTAACCATTTTTTTGGTTTTACTAAAAGTTGACAGTTACAGCTGCTTTGAGTTGGTTGCTAAATTGACAATTTGAAGGGAGACAAAAAGAAACACATACACACCCAGGCGATCATGAATTTATTGACTTTTCTCTCTTCAATTTATTATTTTTTTTAAAAAAAATATTCTCATAGTGTCTTACAGATTGTCTAGACCATAGAATCATTATTGATTGTCATTTCTTGATATGTATTTGAACACAATTTTCCAAAATAATCTGTGAATAGTTTTAATGGTTATATGCATGAGATAGTATATAAAGAATAAGTTTATTATCATTGGAAACATAAACTACACTTTTCTAATACGATATACCCTATAGATAAGATTGATAGCAGTTATGAGAATTGGATAATTTACTATTTCAATAGTTGAAATCATAAGTCAATTGAAGCCAGACCACCATGGAAAACCTGGAAGCACTGGACGGCCGTTTCGTCGTAGTATGGGACTCCTTAACTGTGAGCATTCACGATCCCGCTCCTCCCCCGCGAGATTTGAACCCAGGATCTATGAGTTTCGCGCGCGAGCGCTTAAGTATTAGACCACTAGGCCGTTATCCTGCGGTGTTAATGTTCCATACTTGGACGAAACGGCCATTCAATGCTTCCAGGTTTCTCATGGTGGTTTAACTTCAATTGACTCATGATTTCAACTACTGAGATTACTAAAATCACAACAAAACCCATTCCGATAATTTACTATTTGTTGATAAACTAGTTGTTTCTTACAGTAATATCTAATCAATAGTTGCTGAATGTAACAACCAACTTGTTATATTGTTTTCTTCTATCATTCAATAATGTAGAAAGCCTTGCTATTCATTACCACCAATATAAGTAGAGAGATGTCAGTATCTCTTATTATTATTAGTAGTATTGTTATTGTTATTATTATTACCTACAATGTTTACTAGACATCATCGTCACCATCACCTAATCACCTTTTGTTTGCATAATCTTAAATTAATTGGTATTGGTCCATTCATAGACACTACCCAGTTTCATTGAAAAGTGGTGGAGAATGATTCACTGAGAAGTTGTATAATCAAACACCTTGTCAATACACATTATTCGATCAAAAAGAACTCAGTGTTTAAATTCATTTATAAAATAAATAGAAAGCTGTCAAATGTATTGAACTTCCATCATACAAGTATCTTTGAAGCATATGTTATGCATCTGAGAAGAACCAGAATTATGTGTACGAACAAAACTTGTGAAATTCGTTCTGCCACCAATGTATCAACCAACCAATCAACATAATGTTGAATTAATTCTCGTTAATTCATTGTTGTTGATTGTTTGAATTAGATGATTGATGATGGACTGGTCAATTTGTTTAGTTGATAAATATGCAGAATACTATACGAATTTCCACGATGTTGTTATTGAGTGATAAGCATTGTGAGTAGAGTTGTATGATGAGTAATAGTGTACTTAAGGACTAGTAGATGTTTACTCTGATACTCAATATAGTTTGCTTTAAATGATATCGCGTTATTTATTTAACTACAGAGTCAATACAGCTATTAGCTTGTGTGGTGGGGTGAATTTAAATTCATTTATATTTGAACATCAACTCTTGAATACAAGTATATCTAGCTAACGAGTTCCAAAACAGACGAAATACATGTCCTAGATACCACTGTTAGTCACTTGCCAACTCCGATTACTTATGTATATCATTCAATTCTCGCGCAATCTGTATTCTCTTTGATGAAATGTGTAGGTACACATAATAATTACACGTGTAAATTACAATGTAAAATATTAAAGATATGAAACTGTCATGTAGTTTTACCAAATCTTATTTGATTAAAATTATTTCCCCTACACAGAGGTTGAATAAGCAGATCAAAATCTATTATCAATCCTGATTTAAATAATTAAACAAGTTATATTCCCAAGTGAGTTCTTTATATACATATAGTTTACAAAAGTATAAAGATGTAATGTAAGAATTTCACTGTAGTATGTAAAACAGTTGCAAAATGTCAATGATGTATATTACTTATTTCAATTTCAAGTTCACAGATTGGGACATCTAATATATGTGAATTATTTAGTGAAGAATAAGGAACATATATCGATGAAATTTGCTAGATGTCTTTTAAGAACTCAGTAAATTAGGTAATATCAACCTTTCTAAGTTAATTACTTACGCCTATTACCCCTTTGTGGAGAAGTATATGTCGCGCACCAGGATTCTCGAACCTACTCTGTTCTGGGCAGTTCTTTCCAGTTGTTTTCAATTGCTACTCATTCTTTTGATGTCTGCCTCCAAATCCATGAGCAATGTGTTCCTTACTCTTCCACTTTTCTGTCTCCATTCAGGATTCGAATTTGGCGCTCGCCACGTGATATAGTTTGAAGGTTTCTTCAATGTATTCTCTATCCATTTTCAACGTCTTTACCTAATTTCCTCCTCAGTTAGAAGCTAGTTTGTTCTCTACCATAGTAGATTGTGACTTTGATATTGGTTGTTTTGAGTTCCATATGTTGTCCAACTGTAGGAATGTTTTCCTTTCTTTACTAATCCTCACCTTCAGGTTTGAATTCGATCTTCCTTGTTCATCGATGATGCCTCCCAGGTACGTCAAATTCCTCACCTCTTCCAGAGTTTCTTCATCAAGTGTGATTGGGTTGGTGTTCTCCGTGTTGTATTTAAAGATCTTGATTATTCCCTCACAATAAAAAACGCTTACCAAAATAATATCGACCATATGAAATGAATTAATTTGAAATGAAGTCTATCAACTTAAAAAAAAATAAATTGTCCACCACAAATTTTGATTATTCTCACTATAATTTTATGTAGCCGAGTCAAAATAACTAATTAAACCTTTTTGGACCATACAATAATAAAATTATTTAATCGTTGAATCCACGAGTCAATTAAACCTGAAAGCACTGAATAGTCGTTTCGTTCTAGTATGAAACTCCTCAATAGTGCTCATCCATCCAGGATCTATTAGTCTTGCAAATGAACGTTTAACCTCTAGATCATTGAGCCGAGTAATCAACGGTGTTAATGTCTAACATTGCTCTTTCATTAACTCACAGATTCAACTATTAAATTATTAAAATCTTCACAACCACCCCCCTTTTAATTATAAATCAATTAATTGATGATAATAATTAACTTACTCCAAGTAATTTATAATGATTATATGTTGCTATATTATCAAATAATATAACTGTATGATTTTTATTTCCATTAAAATATTGTACAATCACTTTTAAACATGGAAATTTTGAACGATCTTTTGAACATTTATTTTCACATTTAACATCTTTTCTTACAATATATGCATGTATAAATGTACAATTTGTATGTGTAAATGCTGATTCATGAAAATATGGTTGTACAACTAAATGGATTAATATACATTCTATAATAAATGTTGTTGTTATTATTGTAGCACATGTTAAATAGATAATTTTTATACTATTAATTTGATAAGATTCTGGTATAGATTGACATAATTGTCTACTAGTCATGATTTATATTAATTTTCCTATTTGAATTCCCCCTCTTGTAGAATCATTTTGTTTTGTGTGTTTTTTTGGGGGGGGGGGAAATAAATAAAAAAATAAACAAGATCGATAATTTACTTTTAAAAAAAAATTATTATCCGTCTAAAGGGAAACCAAAGATGTGCATTTTATCTTTCTTAAATGAAAATAACAATAAAATATAATCATCACATAAATAAAGTGATTATTCACCAAATAATCAACCAATCACAAATCGACATTATTTTCTAGCATTTTGATTGGTTGAAATTAAATTGGTTTTTTTTCTGATTAGTTTTTCGTTTTTTTGGGTTTTTTTCTCGGAAAAAATTAACAGAAGGATAAAACTATTAATAATTTTATTCTAATTTGTTTGACAATCCTAAATTCACGTGCTCTTACTTTAAACGATGTAGTTTACCCTTAACCTTGCCATTTTTTGAATTATTAATTTTGATATATAATTGTAGAACCTGAAGAGAATTTGTCGAAAAGAATATTCTTCGTTCAAACATTAATTGAAGTTAGACATTAACATTGTTGAATGCCGGCTCAGTGGTCTAGTGAGTAAGTGCTCGCGCGAGAGACCAGTAGGCCCTGGTTTCAAATCCCACGAGGCGGGGTCGTGGATGCGCCCCCAAATGCCCTGGTACGGCAGAGAGTGGGTAGAATTCGCTCTTCCTCTCGAAATGCTCTCACATAGCCACGCGTATATAGCCTCTGCCAGGGAAGTCCTAATCACTGCCTTCTCGTGGTGGGGGTATTGTTTACGAAAATGAGAGGAGGAAAAGCGAATATCCGGCGCTTTAACCGGGTTCAAAATCAGTGGTGCGCATGGGCTCCAGTATCCTGCGAGAACAAATGGCGTATGAACCAATCGTTGGTCACCGGCTACCATGAGACTGCATCTTCTTACGATGTTCCACTGCATTATTGATCAGACCTTCAGGTCGAAGGCTTGGGGAGTGACCCCCTAAGAAAACCACGTGGTTCGGTTTGGGCACCCAGGCAGTATCACAGCCCTCACACATATCGAATGAGATTTGTGTGGCAAATATATATTTGGTGCCTCCTTATACCAATATTTATGTGGTAAAATAATAATAAACAATGCGCACTGCTGAAGAGTCCCACAATAAGATGAAACGGCCGTCCAGTGCTTCCAGGCTTTCCATGATGATCTAGTTTTAATTTATTCATGATCTCAACTACTGAAATTATTAGTCTTTTAATATAATTGGGGTCTTTAAACGATTAAAAAGTTAGTATTTATGAATATCTACTTTACTAAAATAGATTTGTAGATGATTGAATATAAAATACGAATATGTTTATCTTTAATTCATTTCATGTAACTGTTTTAAAACTTACGGCATATTCAACTTATATGACTTGATTAACCCAGGTAACAAGTTGATAACTCTATAATACTGGTTAGAAATAAATAGTAAAAGAAAATATTGTCAGTCTACTGATATAATGTGATAACTAGTCTCATTATTTTCATATACATGAAATGGGATTCAAATTAACTATTAATCCACTAACATTTAAAAACAGGCCTGATTTTTTGAAAAAATCCGTATAAAAGAGGTTAGTCAGTAAAAATCTGGGTCGTGAAACAATGAAAACAATCAACGAAAATGCGAAAATAAATAAAGATTTGAAAACAAACACTACGAGGACAGTCAGTCACAACACAGTCATAGAAATGAACTGCAATAACACTTTTCGAATACAAGAAAACATTATTTCTGTATAATGTAGTAGTTAAAGATGGTATCCAGAACGATAATACAAGCTCTGAAATCAAACCAATTAGCTACTAACTGAAGAAGTTTCTGTAATTAATAAAACTTGCCACATGGGTGAATCTGATGTAGATGTGAAAGCGCAAATTGGCATAGAAAGAGCAGTATATTGACAACTGAAGAACATCTGGAACTCAAAACAACTGTCAACGGACACTAAAGTCAGGATTTTTAATACAAATGTCAAGAAAGTTCTACTCTATGGAACGGAAAACTGGAGAACTCCGAAAGCCATCATTCAGAAGATACAAGTATTTATTAACAGTTCTCTACGTAAAATACTTCGGATCCGTTGGCCAGACACTATCAGCAACAACCTACTGTGGGAGAGGACAAACCAGATCTCAGCGGAAGAAGAAATCAGGAAGAAGCGCTGGAAGTGGATTGGACACACATTGAGGAAAGTACCCGACTGAGTCAGAAGGCAAGCTCTCACATAGAATCCCGAAGGCCAAAGGAGGAGAGGAAGACCAAAGAACATATTACGCTGAGAAATGGAAATAGACATGAGAAAAAATGAACAAGAATTGGATAGAACTAGAAAGGAAGGTGTTGGACAGAGTGGGTTGGAGAATGGTGGTCGGCAGCTTGTGCTCATTGGCGATAACCGGTGTAAGAAAGCCTCACAAAAATAACTTGAACAAAAATTCATCATTATCAAATACACATAAAATAGTATCAGAAAGGGTTTTATGGATATTATAATAATTTTGATGGTTAAGATTATGAGTTAATTGAAGCTAGATTACCATGGAAAACTTGGAAGCACCGAACTCCTCAGCAATGCCCATCCACGATCCCAACTCGCGAGATTCGAACACAGGTCGTCTAGTGCTTTCATGTTTTCCATTACGGCTTAGCTTTAATTGACTCATGATCTTAACCATTAAAATTACACAAAAATTAGCTGATCTTTTAAATACATGTATTAATACATTTCATAAATACAATCAGTTAGCTCTTATTTTCCTAATTTTCTAAATTCATTATAAAATGATTCCCTTCAAAATCTACAGATTTTCTGACAAATTCTTACGAAAATAGTTGAAATAATGAGTCAGTTGCAGCTAGACAACCATGATAAACCTGAAAGCACTAGACGGTTGTTTCGTCCTAGTATGGGACTCCTCAGCAGTGCGCATCCACGATCCCGCCCCCCGCGGGATTCGAGTCCAGGACCTATCAGTCTAGCGCGTGAGCGCTTAACCACATTGTTAATGTCTAACTTTGACCAATCCACAAAATTGCGCCACCGCACACCATTGTCTTCAGTGAGCTGATATCTCACAACAGGCATTGGATTCTAATCTCGCGGGTAGCGGGATCATGGATGCCCACCGCTGGGGAGTCGTACAATAGGACGAAACGACCGTCCAGTGCTCCGAGGTTTTCCATGATGGTCTAGCTGCAATTGACTCACGAATTCAACTATTGAAATTACTAAAATCTCCACAAAACCCCTTCCAATGAAAGTATTTTTTTCTTTTTCTGAAAAAAGAAACAACCTACGCGAGAAAAGCTATTTTTGTAAAGATATTTAGCTTTTCTTTCCTCTTTTTATTTATTATTCCATATAATTAATTATTTGATGTTTATTTTCTATTCATTCTTAATAACATTTGATTTTCCTTTCTATTATATAGTTAGTTGTCTAGTCAATCATGCGTGAATTGGCCAACTATTATGCAATAAGAATAAATACAATTGATAGAATAGTTTGTAATTTCATAACTAGTTGAGTAAATTTCAATCTACTAACATATTCATCTATATGTAGTTGCGATTGAATTATGAGCAAAGACTGTAGTGAGTTAGGAGTTGGAAACAGATATCGAAAGGATGAATAACAACTAGGACTAAGTGGAAAAGATTGACCACGACAGAGTTTTATGGGGAATCTTAGTGGGAGGTCTATGCTTCTCTACGAAGAGTAACAGGCGTAAGTAAGTAAGGATTGTATTATCAATCTAAAAACAAGGATCTCACAACGTATACATACATATCAATGCTTAGACTGGACTTGATAGCTTCAAATAAATTGAGCATTGAGTAGTAAGTTTTTAATACATATATATTTGTGATATCCCAATGAGTGGAACATAGTATTTCTGATGTTCCGTGACTTGATGTAAGCCAATTCTTTAGTGTAAGTAAATAATTGAACTTTAAATTAACATAAGTTTAAATAATAGTACAAAATAAATAAATACCTTTAACTATGATCAGAATCATCATAATGGGTCTGAATATGTCAATGTCAAGTTAATCTTGATCACTGTGCGTCAGAATGTGAATATTAAAAATATGATGTAGTAGGGTTAAAATTGTGTGTGTATGTAGATTGGGTGGAAAATGAATGTGATTGTTTAAATAAACAGTCCTGACACACAAAAAATAATATGGTAACAGGTCGTACAAATTCACCTTAAGTCATGAAACGTCAGAAATACGATGTGCCAATAGGATAAATTGATCTTAACACACTGTAAAATCTTTGAATTAAAGGAAATAGAGACAATCTTCATTTAACAAACATTAGTAATACGTCATCTAATTGAATATTGAAGTAACCTACTATTATTGTATCGGTGTCGCTTATTTGCATACTTTTTTTAAAAAAAAGACCAGGGATCACTGAGATCCGCATGTCGCGAAATATAAACACTAAGACTAATACCAGTATAGATTTATTAAAACCCGAAAAACGACAACGACTCCTAGTGGAGGAGCAAAGACCAACCACCAACACTCTCCATCCAACTCTGTCATCAACAAACACCTACACTTCTTTCCTCTAACTATTCATCCTTATGATGTTCGCTTCCGATTCTCAACACACTGCGTTCTTCGGCATTCCTCTTCTCATCATTTCCCTTCAGGATTCCATGTTACGGCTTGACTCATGATGCAGTTTGCTGACTTCCGATATCTATGTCCTATTCACCTCTAACATCTTCTCCTTATTTCCTCTTCACCTCGATGCTAGTTCTTCCTCTCTCACACAAGGATATTGCTCATGATATCCGACCAATGGATGTTGAGTATCTTGTGTAGACAACTATTTATAAATACTTGTACCTCCTTGACGATGATTGTAGTAGTTCTCCAAGTTTCAATTTTGTACAGTTGGACTGTCTTGACCTTCGTAATGATGACTGTGACTTTGGTGTTGGT